AAGTGTATCACTCATGAAGACACACTTAGGTGTGCATCACAGCACTGTAACCTCCCTTTCTTTCAAGTTCTGAGGCAATTTTTGTTATTCTGTCAATCTACAAACATGTTTTAAAAATGCATCAGTGCTTATAGTCTCCAAATCTCATTATGCTGATCTGCAAAATAGCTCTCCTCTGCTTCAAAAACTGCTTAGATGGCTTGGCTTTCCATCACAGATTAGATTCAGAAGTTGCTAAACTGAGGCTGTATCTCCTACAACCGACCCCTCTCAGGAAGCATAGCCAACACTTCAGCCATTCCCTGTTCCCCAACAGGAGATCCTTGTCTTCTACCAAACATCTCATGATTCAAGTAGTAGGCAAATTAACAGGAACATTCCAGAAAGCTAGGTCCTGCCTTTAGAGACGCTTCCTCTGCTCTCTTCAACTGGGAGAGGGGTTTATGGCAGACAGAAGAGGAATTGCAAAAGGTCCACTACCCACAGCTGCTTCTAAAAAAAGGAGCTCTGAAAAACTGCTCAGAATAAATCTCAGATTTCCTCTGACAAAGCCTTCTCCCTACAGAACTACTGTGAGACTGGAGGGAGAAGCCAAAAGGCGTCACACTTGGAAAGAAGTTCCTCCTGAACCTTCCCTAAGGACTTTTTCAGCTTGGAGATGGAAAAACTGGACTCTAAACATGAATGTGGAATCATGATCAGAGGAGGAGTTGCCAATTAAACAAAAATAAAAGATTTTAAAGATCAGTGAAGATTATGGGTGAAGAGTAGAAATCCCAACATTGCTAGCTGAATGGAGTACTGAGGACGCCATGGGAGAGACTACAGTTCAGCCAATGGCCTTAAATCCAAATATTTGTCCTGGACGTCCTCTCTCTGTCCTAACGGTTCATGGCAGCAACTGCAAAAATAAATTGAGCATCCTAAGTGTTTATTTGTGGAATTCATTGGACACTAGCTTAGAGAAACATTAAGTTATAAATTTCAGTGCAAAAGGAATAAAATTGTGAATAAAAGTTTTGCCTATAACCAAAACATGCCTGGTTATTCAAAGATTTTCAATACCTAAAAGCAGCATTTGACAGCAAGAAAGTCCAGCCAAGATGAATAAACACTTGTGGCATTCACTTTTTATTCGGTGTAATATGAAACCAGATGCTCCAGCTGAGAGACAAGAAGGTAGGCAGGAATTAAGTAATATTTTTAACTTTACAAGTAAGAACATCTTAATTTCAGTCACTTGTGAGTCCAGCAGTGAGCATCACCTCCTGGAAGAAGAATAGTTTGTATTTCGGCTCTGTCATATAACGCCGTAACAGCCGCTTAAAAATGGTTGCTGTGCACTTCGTTAGCTGGGGCGCAAAGGACCCAGATCTTTAGAACAGAGTACTGGCTCTGTTGCAAATACCGCGGCTATGTAAATTCATTTAAGCAATCCTAGTGGTATGTACTTCAGTGAGAGCTGAAGTACAGCTCCAAATTTTCAATGAATTGCTGACAAAATATTTTTTCTACAGTCCAGCCAGAGAGGCATCCAAAGCTTACCTTCGGACTTCATAAGAAAAGGGACAGAAATCTTTTCAAACATTTTTACATGACTGTGTCTCACACATACTCTTCCATATCAGAAAGTAACATAGTTACTCGATGAGGGGAAAAAAAGAAAGAAGTGCTTTAGTAATGAACCAAGAATTAGTTCAAACCAGGAAGATTGTATGCAATGACAAAAATGGACACCGAAGCAAGAGCAGCAATACACCAGAGTCCAAACTTATTCTAAACATATGCTCAAAACAAAAATGACTGCGTCTGTCTTTCACACACCTAACTGCAGAAAATTGCAATTCATACAATATCCAAAAATGTTTTAGAAACAGAAGGCTCTAATGAAAGAATAGCTACTATAAGCACACAAAAAACTTCAAAAGTTGTCCTAAAGAGACAGCATTACATGTCAGGAACAACACTGACCCAAGGGCAAAGCTTCACTTTTCATTTATCATTGTCAAAAAACCCCGAAACTTTCTTATACCCAAGGCAAGAATCTTCAACTTCCATCAGCCAAAGTAGATAACACCACTTCTACCAAAATAAGAAATCCTGTTTATTGTTCAGCTTTTCTGTTCACAGCAAAGTATACGTTAGGAAGCAATTTCTGGACACTGCTTGCTCTGTCTGATCAGAGGAACTGAGCAGGACTTTATGCTACTAAATGGAGAGTGGTGAAAAGTTCACAGGTTTCCTACAGAAACTAGATGCAGCGTGGCTGGCATCAGTAGAGCTTTCCCCTAAGCTCGGAGAACCGGCAGAGAAAACTGCTCGAGTAGGCAGGACACGAGAACTGGCTAGCTTGCTTCCCACTGCTCAGCAATAGGAAAAAAGAAAGCAAGCAAGCAACAGAAGGTATTATCACACATTAAACAATTGTATCCATCCACATTTATCTCACAGTAGAAGGATTAGTGATAATAAAAAAACCCAAGTTTTCAGACACAACTCAAGACTACCCTCAAAACAAACCAATTCTATTTGGTTTTTTTTCCCTAGAATATTAGAAAACTGTTTGGGCTGGGAGGTTCAGCTGTATGACTTCAGGTGTAGTACTCAAACTCTCTTACAATATGAGCTCTACAAATGGAAAAATGATAGAAATAAGGAATGGTACACACTAGAAGATTTCCACTGAAAATATGAAAAATACGCCTCTTACACCAACCTTTTTTTTTTTTTTTTTAAAAAATAAAGTATGTGAAAACCTTACTTTCATATCTCCCCCTCTACACCAAGTAGACCAAAGATACTACATATACTGCAATATATAAAAATCACACTTTCTTTCAGGATGGAAATCACTTTTTAAAAAAAAAATAAAATCTAATATGAAGATAGAACATATTTTGCCATTTAAATTACCCTCAGCCGTAACAAATACTATCTCACAATAAGAACAGATTAACATGAGGAAGAATCAGAGAGTAAATGTGTTTCTTGAAATGGGAGATACAAGAAATGGAGAATTAGAAAAGCAAATGAAGTGAGGATCAAGAAATGGGGGGAAATAGATGAATCACAAAAAGGTTCTAAAGCTACAAAGAAACAGAAAAATCGTCCCTTTCTAGCAAGGAATTATTTTTTTCACTTACAATGTCATACTGTTTGAATTCGCATTCAATGCTTGATACTGCACTGTTGCAATATACTGTTTGGTTTAAATTTTGCACTTGTGAATGCACTTCACCTGTGTTGACTTGAAAACAATGCCAACATTATTGAAAGATTTCCATTTATAATTCAGTTCAAGATGATGGTATAAAATGACAAGAAACTTGTACTACAAATTCATTACTTTTTCAACTGGCAAAACTGATAGGGAGCTTTGAGATTTAACTAGCCAGTGTTTAAGTACTATGAAAGAAAACCAAATATAGCATTTTCTTAATGCCTGGAAGATAATCCAACGCTTTTTTGTATATTCCCTGTATGAGGAACTCAGCATTCTGACAGAAATTAGAGGGCAAACATTGTGTAGCTGCCTTATGGGAGGACTACGATTACTCTTTTCTACCCACCTCTTTTCCTTCATCATGGTCATATATCTTGTACAGAAGTTTGCCCTTTTTGACTTTCAAGACTATTCTGAAGAGAGACCATTTCCCACCCACATCAAACATCCATAGTGGAGGTAAGACATTTTCATCCTAACATCAACAACAGAATGCACTTCAGACTAGAAAGATCAGGGAAATTGATACCTTGGCGTTTATTTTGATGCTGTATTTATTCTGCAATTACCTTCAAAATATAAATTTAACAACATGATAACATCTTCCAGCTCTCCCTGACTCTCATATCTCAGTCAAAATACATTTCAGTATATCTTCAATGCATAAAGAAAATGAAGGACAATCAAGACACAGATACCCGAAAAACAGTCTTTCACATCTGTTTATATTGACAGATGCCAAAACTAAAGACTCAGTTTGTCACTTTTGAAATACAAGTCTGGTCACCTGACTCTGAAGCTTTAAGTTTGCTTTCTGAAAACTATTTATGTCCTAAGCAAATTGACCTGGTTATGAGAAAAGCCTAGCCACAAACAAATTTTAAACTCATTTTTTCAGTACAATAGCAAACTATTAAATGACATTTTCTTTTCATTCAATCATCTTAACTCTGTTTAGAGACTTTCCAAATAACTAGTAAAACCCCGACAATTCTTCCTAATTAAATTTTGAATTTAAACACGACCTTCAAAAGAAGGCTAGAAAAACACACAGACTATCCTTTTTCCCCCCTTAGAATGCATCATGCAACAATTAACTGAATGTATATCCTTGCTGATGCAGGGCAGAACATTTCTCAAATGTATAACTGACAACAAATTTACAAAACAGCTATTAGCAAAAAGTACAAAAGCTCAATGGAATAAAACCACTGATTAGGTGTTCTTAAAGTATGAAAATGAAACATGCAAGATTCACAAACAAAACATCTTCTCTGTTATGGTATAAAAATGACTGCATGTTGAACTAGACAACAGATCTTCTAAAAAAACCAAAAAAACCCCCAAAAATACCAGAACCCCCACACGCGTCTTATGTAGTATTCACAAGCATTAATCATACAAGTCTTCCTAGCATGATCCAATAATTGCAGTCTGTAACACTATATTCTGCATTAACTTCATTTCAAAAATCTCCACAAACCAGCACACAAGTATAAATTAGTTTGCATTCTAGAACCCTGTTTCATTAAACAAAAAAAACCAGACCATTTTAAAACTCCTGTCTATATCCTCAACAAAAATGTAGTCTTATTTTAGCAGCAATCAAAACAGTCAGTAAGTGTCATGAAAATTATCTCTATACTAAATGACTAACTTGTAAATAGATCTTCACTTACTATTTAGCAGTGTCACAAATTTAGACATTTTAATACAGTGATTTACACTAGAAAAACATCTAATTAAGAGGGGGAAAAAAATATCTGAAGATACATACGACCACTCAGACTCCAACTGCTCTCTGTAGACTTTCAGGACATGAAGAACCACAGGCAAGTTCCCAGGATCCAGTAGTTCTCTCACTTTCTCTGAATTAAGGCAAGTGAACAGGACCATACAACAATAGGCAACGATTTTCTCATCACTGTACGTTAGGCATTTCCTTCAAGAGAAAATAAGGAGTTAAGAAAGTAAGCTAAAACTGACCCTGGAAAAACAGACTAGTGGCATTCAGCTCGTTGAGCTGTTGTTCTTTGCTGTATTTTAGAGAATTATAAGTTTGTCATTGCCCAAGAGGGACAGAAGTCATCTGCAAAGAAAAACATCCAACTCCTAGCTGATGGTCAAACTTAACAGGCAATTTACAAAACTAATGCTAAATTGGAGCTAACTAGAGATCTAGAAATCAGGTGAAACCATAATAATCATCTGCTTCTACTATCATAAGGTCTTTCTACATCCAGTGCTGACAAGTGGGCTCCAAAGCCACACTCAGAGTGATTATCAAATTGAATTAATGTGCCTTTGTTACTAGCTTACTATGAAAAACTTGGCCAAATACATCAACAATATTGTCACGTGTCTGCACAAAATTGTTTACATAATATTTCATTACACATATGTCATCAAACCTCCAGGAAGATATTCTGGTGAGGTTAGGAGAAGGGTAGAAGGACTGGAAGATTAAGTCACTTTTATAGATTCCATTTAATCCACAAATACTGACAGGCCTGCACAACATCAAAGTGAATAAAGAATGGGCTATGTTCTTGGAAATGATTCTAACTACTTGAAAACACCTCTGAAATAAAGTTTATGTTTGAATCTCATAATTTAAAATATATTTTTCCTCCAGTTTCTGTTAAAAGAAATCAATTTACAGTTAGTTTAGAACAAGCAGGTTTTTAAAGGTCCTGACCCCTGCGGGTGACTAACAAAAAAAAACATCTACAGGATATGGTCTCAACTGTCCCATTCTCACCAAAGTTATTTTTCAAAGCTTCATGGTGCTAGTAGAGGTACAACTATCATGTACAAAAGATTTGAATATAACCACAGAAATTACATTAGAAAAAAAACCCGCATCCATGCTTACAAGAAGAGATCTGGGAAAGCACACTTCCAAATGCTATTCTGGGAATCTCCATTTCCTGCTGCAATGTTTCCAAGAAACTGGAGACTACAACGAAGAGCTGAAAAAAACCCCAGAAAATATATTAACAGGAATTCAAAGAAACACTAATAAAATTCATATAAATGACAAATTTCAACATTACAGCTATACACTGCAGAATCCACCTCAATTAAGCTTTGGGTGCACTATTTCACTGCTACTGTACATAAATACTTGCATTTTCTCTTGTAATGAAAATAATTTTACAGAGGATTCTAGAATTAAACCCAAAACAAATAATTTTTTTCCCCTCAGGCTTATATGAATATCAAACATTGGTTACTAGTGATTACAAGAACTAATTGATACTATCAGGGTTTAGGACAGACTGGTATCAATGAAAGCTTAGAGCTACAGTTAGCACAAACTGAAGCAGACCCATGCTGAACCAGTGGCTGCCACACAGCAGTGGCCATTTTGCCTCTTCCAAATCTGAGGTGGCTTTCTTCCTCAATATTAAATTAACACAAATAGGCTGCCTGTCATCACCTGAACTCTGCAAAAGCAGCTCTGCCTGCTACTGAGAGTGCTCCCCTGGCACCCTCCCTGAGGTGGAGCCAGAGAACTGAATCTGCTCCCTCACTACCTATGTTAAATTCTATTTAGCTGGACAAATCATTATATACTATGATGATGTGCTCAATACTTTCTGATTTCTATCCCAGAAAAATTAAAGCCAGTACTCCAAGTAACTTTGCCTCCAATTTTAACACTGAATTTAATATGACAGATTTCTACTATTGCTACAAAAGGATTTATTCCAGCCTCCTCTCAATACAGACTCAAAATATGGGAAGATAATATTTCATCATACAAGTTAATATCCTAGAGCCCGCCAAAAGATGTAAACTCATGAAAAACAAAAACATGAACCCACAGATCTCACAAAATTAAAACACTTTTTTTGACCCTATTGACAGCTCTCAATAGCCTGGCCCTTATTAATAGGTTGGCAAAGAAACTTAAAATTATATGTTCAAATGCAGTTTAACAGATATTACAAGCAGCAGCCTATTACAGACGGAGGTGGTCGATATTGCCAGATTCTGAAAATATAAAATTAGGTCTCTTTGAAAGGTGCTGTGCCAGCTGGCAGCCAGATTTCCTACAGAAGTCTGGGCATATGTCCTCTTGGGAACAAAAAAAGCAAGTCTAAAATGAGGGCACTTGGGCTTAGAAATAGTAACCTTTTTTCCATATACATTTTTTAAGCCCAAAATATGTATGTCCTCTCCATAATGTATTTTGAATCATTCTCCTTTATGCTTTAGTTCTTAAGATCTCTGTTCTCTCTCCCTGCACACCTGCACTTTTTTATTACTTTCTGCTCATCATTATGCTTCCGGTTCTCCCATCCATCTGGTTCCCATCCTGCTGACTCAGAATTTTTCTGAAGGACAGCAAGCATGGGCACGCTACCTTTCTAGCAGACATTTTATGGAAATACTTCCCTGCTAGAAAACATAACAAGGCAGTAAATCCTAGGAATAGGGTATTATTTCTCTTGGTGAACTCCTTACCTACTCTACTCTAAGAATGATCTCTAAGAGACATGAGGTTGGTTAATTACGCTCCAATCTTTACCTGCAATTTGCTTGACCTTTTTCAGCTATCAATTACACTTTTGCTGTTAGAGACTAAGCTGTCAAAAAAATATTACAGACTAGGGAAAAAAACCTGCTAAAGATCTTTTAAAAGTTGCCATCCTTACTGTAACAAAGATGAAATGCTATGAACACGTTTGCAGTACAATAATAAATAGCTACAAATTCTCCATTATCACACACTGGAGTCTTAATATTTGTGAAAGCAACCACACTGCCCTTGTTCAATTGTGATGTCCTGAACAAGAAGGATCCAGGAAAAGGTCATGATTCTGTGGATGTACTATGGAAAAAAACCCAGTTTCATCTGTAAGTGCTTGTTTTTAACCAGTAATGGTTAACATTTTTCTTTAATTTAGAGGACATAAATCAGTGTATGTGCAAGCAGATAATCTGTGAGACAAAAGCTACTGTATCTATTCACAACTAAGCAAGAAAAAGAGGATGTCTTGATAATGCAACATTTCCCCATGCAAGTAATCTCATGTGATGAATCTCAGCAATTCTAAAGATGTAATTCTACAAACACCTGAGGTAATTGAGCTACACCAGGAGTACAGATTACACACAACAGGACCTACCTCTCAATCTGTCCAATCAATTCATGTGTTCTGTCACAACTACAGTGGAACTGCTGCACTGCTGCAGTGCCTGAACTCCTTTTCCCTACCAAAAAAATGTATTTCATATTACAAAAAAAATATAATTCGTTTCAGAGTACTTAGCTTGTGCCAGGTCAATGACATATGCCAAATACGGTTCGTGTACTGGAGTGTGAGTATTTATGCTTTGGCTTCTATGATCACGGATCTACCTTTGAGAAGCTAGGTCTGCTGGGAGCTGATGAGATTCACCTGACCAAGTGGGACAAGAGGGTCTTCACCAACAAGCTGGACAGATTTGTACGGTGAGACCCCAACTGGAGTAATGCATCCAGCTCTGGAGTCCCCAGTACAAGACAAACATGGAGTTGTTAGAGCAAGTCCAAAGAGCGACATGAAAATGGTCAAAGGCCTGGAACACCTCTCCCATGAAGAAAAGCTGAGAGAGTTGGGGTTCTTCAGCCTGGAGAAGAAAAGGCTCTTGAGAGACCATATTTCAGCCATTCAATAGATAAAGGGGGCTTATAAAAAATGATGGAGGGAGACTTTTTACCAGGGCCTGTAGTGATAGGACAAGGGGTAATGACTTTAAACTAATAGAGGGTAGGTTTAGATTAGATATAAGGAAGAATTTTTTTTCCTGATAAGAGTGGTGAAACACTGGAACAGGTTGCCAAGAGAAGTTGTGGATGGCCCCTCCCTGGAAGTGATCAAGACCAGGATGGATGGGGCTTTGGGCAACCTGGTCTAGTGGAACTTGTCCCTGCCCATGGCAGATGGGTGGAACTTGGTGATCTTTAAACGTCTTCCAACCCAAACCATGCTAGGATTCTATGTGCCATGTCCGGCAATCACAGATGAACAGTCAACAATGAAGAGGGGCAAACAGCATTACAAGTCATTACAGCACCACAACTAGAGTAGCTCATCATAGCATGTTCTCTGAATCACATCACAGTAGCATCTGCATGGTTGTGCTTACAAAAAACCAAACACACACACACTTCCCCCCAAAACCCCAGAGCTGCACCTAGTGGTCTAAGAGTATGCAAATGTCTCATATGCAGCGTTTCTCTCCAAAAATGATTCCAGATAAAATGTACTAGCCTAGCACCAGCTACCAAGTGACAATGAATTTTGATATGAGCATTTGAAATCTGTATTTTGGTATTTATGCTTTAAAAGTGAACCCCTCAAAAATCCAAATCCAACCAGAGCAGTTAACTCACAGCAAGGTATGCATGTGTTAAAAAAATGCAAATGCTACAATAAAAGTTAAGCATTGCATTCCCAACTATGGAAGTCTCTTCTTAGCATTCAGTTTCCATGTTTCTCTTTTTTGTTTTACCGCTATTGGACTTGACTGTTGCAACATGATTCAACTATGCTTAGAAATCTGTAGAATCCAGATACTGCCTTTCTCCTCTACAACGTCATTGTCCTTACAGCAAAAGCAAGAAAATCTACAATCCGATTAAGACAGACTTCATTGCACAGTACATCAACTGAAACTATTTTGCCATCTATTCAATAAGCCATGTGCTTTCTGAAAAAGGGAAAGAAAAAAAAAAAAGACTATTTCACCTTTTCCCTGAAAACTTACAGATCTTTACAAAGCTAAAAATA